GAAATATGCATATTTCGGGTTTTTTTTTTGTTAATACGATTCAAGATTTGTACTTAGTTTTTTTTTTGTACAGTTTTCTTCTGTTTTGTATTGCGTCTGTGGTAAACTACTTCTTGATAAACAACAAGGTCACTTCTTTCAGAACAAGTGGAGGAGCACTAGTTATGGCAGTGTACGAGGAGATTCAGAAGCATTTGTGATTACAACGAGAACCCATGTTAATCAGGTCGTGAGTAAATCACTGTGCCATTATAGCCTTCCCGTCTATTTTGTGCCATCTCACTCCAGCTCAAATGGCTCTTCTTTTTAAGCGAAATGTAGTTGATCGATAGATCGATCTAGTCGGACTTTCTGATGTTTTACTCATTGATGATTCGAAGAACTACCACTTTGTTACCGTCTAACGGTTTGTAGTCTCTCTTTACCTCAATAGTAGGTTTTGATTTCTTTTCCTCACACATTTTTTATAATCTTTGCTAATGGTACACTACCTCAAGGAATCTGTTGCCATTCACCCATCTCTTGTATTTACTGCTTAGCAGGAGTACACCTGCATGCTCAATTACAGGGTTCCATGCTTGAGAAGGCTACAAACTACCCCACTCACACAGTAGGTTAGATTTTTTGTTATTGTTGCATAACCAATAAGGGAAGAGCGGAACCTAATGATTGCACAGATGAGATACTCAAACGAGTGGGAGGTGTAGCAGAGGTACCTAAAGAATCTCTTGATCCGTGCCTGAAAATTGTGTTATCGGGGAGGGGTATTTCGCACTTTGGCTAGTTCGTTTTGCAATCACAAGTAACTAGATCAACACCTGCAGCACTCGGGTTAACACCCGTAAACTCGAGAAGCCGTGAAATGATGCAAACGGGTCAGTTTAGTTACAGGAATTCACAGGGCTCTACAAAGTGATTTTTACAAGCCTCGCTGAATACCCTTTGGTGCCCACAAAAGTCTTTTGGAGCGTTGTTGAGAAACATGGCCTGAGGGGGCATTTAGTCAGCTCACCACGCAGCCGAAGCAGTACCGAGAAGCTCCTTCTTTTCTCAGGCAAAAACACTGCTGAAGCGCTGAATAAATTCAAAAAAGCCCAAAAGCAACGTGCTAGTGGAGCTGAGGCCACTCGGCGGAATCTGCGCCGTCTCACCGATACAGTGATCCTTTCCCTCTCTAGAGTCTGCGTTAAAGGGTGTCGGACGGCCAGATAGACGGAGGTTAGCCTCTCCACTTCCCTATCATCTCAGCTACGTTGGAACTAAACCCCGCTCCTCTTCCAGAACTTATGCCGTCGCGTACGTTGGTAAAACCTACTAAAGTACCACTACCCCATCGTAATCACCCTTCTCTCGAAGCATAGCCTCTTCCTCCCACCCCCCCCCCCCCGTTAGCACCCAGCTTATTTGCTAACTGTTTACCATCAAATGCGCAATCTGCACCCTCTCATCTGCACTCCAGTCTCTGCTTTCAGTATTTCATCAAGGACTAGACCTATAAGTGCGAGAACCTTATAGTTGTTTTCGCTGCAGACGCTGGGGAGCGGTGTGGGGGCGGCTAAGTTTGGGCGGCGCTGTCCCGTTCTCCAGCGATTCTCGAGGCAGGCAAGCGACAACAGTTGGGGGGACGGACTGTCACCGCGTCGACCCCCGCTACCTGACATGTCCGGCATCTATAACGAAAACGACTATACGTTCACGGCATAAAAGCCGCGTTCATACGTTCATACTTCTTTGACTGCGCAGAATCTGCGACAAAAGATCAGGTGGTAAATGACTGACTTCGCTCACCAGCGGTTTTGGAGACCTTGCGATATGCTGGAGTTCGCAGTTCGAGAAAATGTACGATTTGCCGGTGGGTGGGGTCAGTCGATCCCCATATAATTTTTTTACCGCCGCTTCTTCGGAGCGCGCATTTCCTTGTAGCAAAATGTGAACTGGTCCTTACTAAGGGCTGCATGGGTAGGTGAAATCCATGAAGAGCTTCTTGAAGGCAGCTACATCCAACGTCTCTGTTACGCATCTCATGTTGTGATAACCGCATCTCTGCGCTTTTTTTCGATCTAAGCTGGTTCTGAAACCTTTTTACTTTGCATATTTTTCAGTTTTGGTTCCGCTCATCCCGTATGAAACGGGTGTTTGTGAGAGTTCAGGTGATTTCTGAAAACTGTTTGTTCAGTAGTTAAGTGGTCGCATTTGAAGTGATCACCAATGTTTATGACTCTGTATGATCGGTCTCAGTTGAACGAAATGTCCTGTTCATTGCGCTGCACAATTCTGGTTTCTTGTGACTGTTTTGACGTCATGGCCACATGTATCGCTCAGATTAACAACATGACATCGTTCATTCGCTTTAGTGTATGCATTGCCTTATTGTGTATTTCGTTGTAGGTAGCATTTAGGATTATTATGGACGTCGTTCGGCGATGGGCGAGGGGGGGGGGCATTTTGCGCTTCCGCTGCTTCACTAGTTCCTGTTTACAAGTCTCACTCTGGTGAAACCTGTGAACTCTTGTGAAGCTAGAGCAAGCTAGTCGAGCCACCATGGTGAAAATCTGTCAGCTCCTGCAAGCTCATAAAATTAATTTCATTCATGAATTTATAAGACTTGACAGCTACTCTTCACAAAAATTGACAGGTGGTCCCTACAGGTCTTCATTTGATGGCTAAACACGTGGCTGGTAAATAGCAGAAGTGCAAAATGCCCCCCCCCCTCCCTCCGTCGCCGAACAGTGTTTATTTAGCATCTTCATATGCCTTTTACATCTATATGAGCGTGCTCTTCAATGACATGCGGCGGATTCTCGATTGCCTTTGTCTATGACCGCAATATTGCTGTGAAACTGTTGTTATACTGCCTTTTGAAATGTTGCTTATAGGACTTGACTCTAGTCTGGAAAATCCCTAATGAATATTTTACCTCTGACTTTATCCTGTGTATAATACGTTTATCGATTAGTACCTGAGAATGAGCACTTAGAATATCCCATGATTACCGCTTAGGCGGAGCCAGGAAATGACACAGAGGAGTGTAGCAGGCACATGCCAACAAGAGAAGAAATGGGCCCAGATCTCGATCCTAGGACCTTCCAGGCTCGCTAGATATCCTGCTTTGCCCGCCCTTCTCGTGGTTTTGCGAGGATAAAGTTGCCAATTTCCTGCCCAAAAAAGCCTATCAATCAAGTGGCAAGGGCACGATTGCTGCAGGGGGTGTTTCTTGCCAGCTTCGTTGGTGAAAGCGCTGCGAGAGTTCGTGTGGCCACACCTTCCTCGTCCTTTCCACCAATGTCGATGGGCACAACCGCCCACTCAGCGATCGTGCCCCCTGCTAACTGTCGCAGCAAGACAGGAAGGGGTGGGCAAGGCAGAATATCTACTGGGCAAGGGAGAATATATGGCCGAGAACTCCACCCACTTGTTCAGTGTGTTGATCTGTATGACTTGCGCTTAAGCGCGTTTTCTCTGAAGGTGCCCGTATTGTGCTCCCTCTTCCCGGCTTATAGAGAGCTGCAGGAAGAGGGGAGCGCGAACTACGTGGTTTTCCTGGCTCCGCCCATCCGGTAAGCGCGAACGTTATTTAAAAACTAGTGAGTTTATCTACTGTTGTATCTGATGAGGCGTCTATATCTTGCACCAGTCAGAGTTGGAGAAATTCTGGTGAAGTGAAGCGCCTATAGGTAAATGCCTCGATGAATCGCTGGTCACTCGTCCTACCAGTATCAATGTATATTATTCCTTTTGATATGTTTCGATTCCCAGATCCTCCATTGCGCAAGATATAATGCCTGCCAAAACTTCTGTATGAGTTTACCTTTAGGCGTGGAAACCGATTATCGTGATAGTGATGCTTCTTGGCTATGAAGCTATTTCAGGTGTGTTTCATAGCTGGATTCGATGACGATTCGATAAGTAGCACTTGTTGAAATACGTTCTATGATTATGGTAAGTTGAATTTTTAGTTTCGAAATTAGCGAAAGCTTCCTCTTGTGACGCTCATGTGGCACAGGTATGCGGTCCAGGACATTACCTGCCAAGAGACGTAATTTGACGTCATATAGTACATCAGTGTACTGTCATCGTATACTGTAGGCAATGATGAAGTGGATCTTTTTTCACCAAGACCGCGTTCAGACTTAACGATGGGATCGGTCGACTGGTATCGTGGTCGCGAAGTCTGAACGTGGTCTAACGTGCTAGATCACACGTCATCTGCTAACTATTAACAGGAAGTGGACCTGTGGTCACTTGAGCCTTTCCTATTCTCTTTTATTTCAGAACTATATAAAAGTGTGTGTGTTGTTGTTGCTTGTGATATCAATAGGACAATGCAAACATTCCCGGTGGCATCCGTTTATCGCGTCACCATGGCAAGCTCGATACTCGACATTTTCCCAGGCAAGGGTTTTTACTAGTTTTGTTTCGGTTCAGGAAGCCTTTATTAAGTGGCCGTGGCCAGTGGGCTGAGCCATGGTCTATTCCCGAGCGGGTCACGCATTCCTTATAATTTTTGGGCTGAAAAAGTAGCACATCCGCCATACTTGTGGACAGGGGCTAAAGAAGGCGTCTGAACAACAAATAAACGCGGAGCTCCATTCAAGTCATAGCTCGCCGTTGGGATACTTTTTGACTCTCCCTTTCCATCCCCTATCCTATATTCCGAAGAATTTTTTCCGTTCTTCAAGAGCACATACGCCCCCCTCCCCTCTCCAGCGGCCAAATACGAACCCCATCGAAAGGAGTCTCCAGCTACGTCGTGCTCTGGTTTCTATCCCTGCAAACTGTATTAATGGCAAAATTTATATTCAACCAGCAAATGTAATCGAGCTGATTGATTCTCCCTCATCTTCAGTACTTTAGATAGACCGGTTAGATGCCTTACAAGAAGCGAGAGAAATGTTTTATTTTGGTTATGAGAACTACATGAGTCACGCTTTCCCGGCAGATGAATTAGATCCGATTCACTGTACGGGCAGAGGGCACGACCATGAAAATCCGTGAGTCCTTTCGTCGCTGTTTGTTCTGCCTTCTCTTCAAGGTTACATACCGTGCATTTTCAGTGCAAATATCAATATTAATGATGTGCTGGGTGACTACTCACTGACATTGATTGATTCGTTGGACACTTTAGTTGTTTTGGGTGAGCAGGCTAATACTTTTATCGCTGTTGTTTATTGATGGGTTCGTAAGAATGCTGAGTTGTCGACAAAACGATTTACACATTGCACCCGAAGGCTGTTTCTATTGCTTCTGAGCTTTCTGATATCTGCTGGAGGGACGGGGGAGGCGGGGGACGTTTGTTTTCGGCCGAATTCGAGTCTCTAGTGTGGAAAAGCGGGCGGTCAGGCGACGGAGGATAGACATTTTGCACTTTGCTGCTGCATTGGTTCCGATTCACAAGCCTCTGGTGGAACCTGTGAACTCCTATGACGTTTGGCAAGCTGGTCGGGCTAGTATCAACTTTTGTGAGCGATGAAACAGCTTTCTAAATGGATCGACTCGTCGACCCATCTAAAGAGCTGGAATTGTATAAGCAAATGTGCAGAACACCCCCCCCCCTGCCCCCGGTCGCCGAACTGCCCCTAAAAGCGTATTGCTCATAACTAAGCATTCTTGGATAAATTTTGTGTCGCGAAATGCATCAAGAAACAGCAGTGATCAAAAAATAAAAACACTTCTTCATCAAATTCGCCTAATGACAATTTTTCAGTGATCACGAGAGTTTAAGAGAGCAGTCTGCGCTACCGTTATAATTCGGTCCACTTTGAGAAATAACACGACTGTTTCAGGTTTGACGGCTACAAGTCAGGTAGATTCTGGAGTTTATCATTTCTTTCTGTCTTTTTTGTTGTTGCGTTGTTTTCGTGAATGCTGCTTATCGAGCCATTACTGTAAAGTCCATAGAACATAGAAATGAAAGAGCGTGATCAAGGAAGTGGTTGCTCACACTTGTTCCGCTCTTTACACGGAGTCAGCTGCGTAGGCGTGAATCGAGGAGTATCATGTGCGCTCGCTGGTACTACACATTTACTTTTACGCGATGTCTTGGATACTGTATACCGCCTATTCTCTTGAACATATTATTTAGTGTGAAAGAAGAGTAGATAATCGCTGTGGGAGAAAATTACAGTGTCAGTACGGCCGTTTCCTGATGCATCTACGTGGAAGTGACTGGCAATCATGCGACTAGCCGCCTTGGCTATTCCCGCTCCGCACGTCCTTTTTCACACCAGGCGGGGATCGTCTTGTTAAAGGAGAGGTGTGATTCCGGCGGGAATGCTTTCCCCCATGTAGGGAAACGTCATGTTGGCTAAGGTCTTCTGCGGAAGTCTTGAAACTTCACTCTCCTGCAACCCCAAGCTTAATTTTGGCTCATTGCTGGCTGCTCATTGTCCTTACGACCACTTCCCTCCTCCTCCCCCCACCCCCCCCCCCACCCCCCCGCGCCCCTCTCTCTCTCTCTCTCTTCTCTCTCTCTCCTCTCTCTCATCGTCTCTCTCTATACCCATGGGTGGTTGAATACGGCCCCTTCCACGTATTAGGCGAATCATTCCGCAGTCGCGGAAAGGTACAGTGTTGTTTGCTGCAGATGAAGGGTTGGATCAGTGAGTTGGGTTTGGCGCGCCGCCATTCCAGCTACTGGAGCGGGTAACGACAACAGCTGGTGGAAACGACTGTTACGAACCATGTGATACAGTTTCGTCGCTTTCCAAAAAAAAAACAGCTGGCTAGCGTCGCGCCAAACCGATCCCCTTGATCCTACCCCATCACCCGTTGGAAAAAAGTATACTGCTTCCATCACTTGAGGGTCCGGAAAAGGAAGCCAGGGTTGGCGACTGTTGGATTTTTGACGTCCCCGCCTAGCTTCCATTCGATCACGCCTTACACGCTGTTCATTGGCGACCTTTCTTTCTTTCGGGGACCAAAATAGTTCGGTTGGGTTTGTTTGACTGGGACCATAGAGGTCTTTTTCGAACCGGTTTCATTAATTCTATAAATGGAACCCTTTGTAGATTTCTCTCCTCAGCGTCCGATAAATAAAGGATTCATTTCAGGGTGATCGGCTCCCTCCTGTCGGCTCACCTTATTGCGTCTGATAAATCACGCCGCTTAGGCGACTTCTACATTCCCGAATATGAAGGGGAACTACTCACTTTGGCCCACGACCTCGCAGCTCGTCTTCTACCAGCTTTCGAGGGCACTAGAACAGGTGACAGTTAGCATAGTACCAACGATACCATTTCATGGACCCTTGCTCGTTTTTTCTAGGGCTTCCATATCCACGAGTCAATCTCATGAAAGGAGTGTTACCTGGGACTGTGGAAGAGACATGTACCGCCGGTGCAGGATCACTGTTGGTTGAATTTGGAATCCTGTCACGATTGCTGGGTGATCAGGTGAGGCAACATATCACCCATCTGGTAACTGTTTCTCCAGATTCCTTTTCAGACTTATGAGCGCACTGCCAGGCGTATAAATGAAGAGCTTTGGCGGTTCAGAGATAAGAAAACGGGACTACCAGGTACCACTTCTTACTGTATATCATAATATTTTGCTGGAGTTTCTTCACTTCTTTTAACTGAAGGCAATCTCATCAACATTCAAACTGGTGAATGGGTTGGACATCTCAGTGGAGTAGGCGCCGGACTGGATTCATACTATGAATATTTTCTCAAAGGTAGCTTTTTTCTGTTTACTTGGCTGTGTTCAGGCTTGGCGATGGCGCCCGTCATCGTCAAGTCTGAATGCACCCTTACAAACTAATTTCGTCTTCCAGTTTTCGATTTGTGTCTCGATCATGTGGCTTTTACACGGCCTAAACAATAACTTTCGAGTGCCTGCCAACGTGCGAGTTAGCGTTTCCGTTCTTCCAGGCCAGCTGGTACTAACTGGCCGATCCCAGAGGGGTAAAAGGACTGATTGGTCCGAATCCGAGATTTGACCAGGTTGCGCCGTGGCAAGCAGCGCCTTAATCCAGTGAACCTACCGCCTCTGAAATCCAGTATACCGTCTGCGACTCCCTTCTTCTTTTCCATGTGAGAAGTGCTGGCGCGCAGGCTGTGTGCAGATGTCTTCCTTGGACAAGTTAGTCCGTTCTGCAGCACGTATGTGGCTCGAAAAGGCGCGACAACAGCGCCATTTTCGCAGCCACGTACGTGCTGAAACGAAGGCAGTGCCCCGCCCACTACCGAGTATTACGCCCAACGTTCATTTTTAGAGCCCCCCTCGTGGCGCGATTGTCCCACGACTAGCTTTTTCCATTTCGAATGGTGAAAGTGAAGCGGTAAGAGAAAGTGTGGTACTAACAAGTGATACCATCGTTATGATACCAACAAGTGACTTCTTGTCCAAGCATGCTTGCACAAGCTCGGATTGGAAGGGCACTATCTAGGGGGTTCCGGGAACTCTTTGTCTTCTTCCTTGACTGTTGTTGGTATCATAACGATGGTATCACTACCTTCTCATTAGTATTCGAGCCCCACAACCCCACCCCTTACTAATTTTGATCGTGCCTTTAACAACTGCTTTATATTGACCAACCCTACCAGGACTTTTTGAAGCTGTTTTGTTATGATCTGCTGTTTAACGCCGCATGTATTTGTCGCAAGTTCTTGACAGGCGTACACGCGAATGTTACTCTACTAAGAATGCTGGATGTTTTTTTTTTTTTTTTTTTTTTTTTTTTTTTTTTTTTTTTTTTTTTTTTTTTTTTTTTTTTTTTTTTTTTTTTTTTTTTTTTTTTTTTTTTTTTTTTTTTTTTTTTTTTTTTTTTTTTTTTTTTTTTTTTTTTTTTTTTTTTTTAATCAAAAGTGTGTCGGTACCTCCATCGGAAGATGTCACGTAAACCAACACGCGCACGCTTTCTGGCGAGTAATTGTTTCTAATTCGTTACCCCCGGAAAAAGAGTGGCCTCTTTATACCCTCCAAGACTTAACAGGACCATATCGCTTAGTGCCAATTAACACACCACGCACTCAACCGTTTAAACTTAGTGAAAGGCGGTCCTAAAGAGAGTCGTAATCAACCCCTCTCAATTAAACAAGTGGGCTGCAAAAGGATGTCTGTTGAAAAATAAGAAGGCTAAACCGGCAATAAAGCCGTGCATACACACAAGTGAGAAACGAAAAGTGGATAGTAACAAGACAAACACAACTAGTAGTTGTGGAAAAACAAGGAGGCGTAACGGATAGCGCACTCGCCCGGAAAGCGTGAGGTGCGGGTTCGACTCCCGCCTGGGGCACGACTTTTGCCCATAACTCAGCATTCTTGTGATAACCTACCAGGACTAACAGCGATGTTGTTCCATGTTGCTCGCTTCGAGGCTGAGATTTTACTGTAACTGTATGCATGCTCAGGAAGTGTTTGAGATGGTGCTGTTATGTCACTCACATGTCTTTTTCAGCTTACATACTGTTCGGTGAATCTCGTGATTTGCAGTTATTCAACGAGGCATACGATGCCATCCTTGCAAATCTACGACGGGGACGGTTCGTTTTATTCGGTCATCCGTTCTTGCCTTTATATTTTGATATTATGTGTTTTTCGTCCTTGTTTTGATGTTGTCCTTTTTAGAAGTCTATGCAACTCCGATGGTGAACCACCGCTGTTTGTTAACGTTGATGCACGTGACGGTTCTACAGCGAATACATGGGTTGACTCTCTACAAGTGAGTACCTCTTTTACGAAATCATTTCTTATCCTTTCCACAATCGGGAAGGAACGAGTCACTATCACGGCACATCGTTCATTGGGGATCCTCCAGCGAGGGCGGGGTCGTATCTGATCGCTGGATACCGAAGATCGTGTTTTCCTTTGCGAAAAATGTTTCCTTGTTGATTTTTCTTTCTCGTTTTTTCCTGTTTCTCCTACTGTTTCAAGTTCGAATGCGCCACATATCCCCCTCCTCCTCTCCGCTCGAAGGCACTTTTTGGGGAATAATAGAGTTTCGGAGAAGTGAAAGATGCAAAGAAGCGATACATGGGAAATTAGGTAAGATGGGGAAGGGAGGGATTGAGAGGTGTCGTATTTCGGAAAAAATTACCCCAGGCGGCAGGGCGCCCCCGATTCCTTAATAATAGCTATGACGGCGGGTTTTCTCCCTATCAACTTGATTTCACGCAGGGAACCTCATATGGGGAACGTGAAGGCGAGGTCGTTCAGGGGCGTGGTCGAGCTTTTTCAAATGGTCTGTGGCAGTGTTGTAGGGGGGACCAGAAACTGAGCGTTCTTTATCGACTGCGGCGCTGTCTACGAAAGTTAAAAAAAAACGGCTAAAAAATAGGTCGATCGGCTTCTGGTCCCACCACGAGACAAATTTTGGTTTTTTCTACAATTTTTCATTTTTTGGATCCATGTTTGGCTAAGTAATTGGTCCTAACAAAAACATTCACGATGAACTGAACAATCCTACTTTTATAGAGCAAAACCGCTTTTTCGTTCGAATTCGTTAGTATGCACAGACACAGCTCTTCGGCACTATGTCGGTGCTAGATGGCACTGGAACCGAAAATAAAGTTTAGAATCGTGATCAGGACTGTCGATTACCCCTAGGAGCAAGTTTTAAGCGAAAAAATTTTTTTGACTTTTTCGGGTTGTAGGTGGCTGACCAACTTGCGTCAGCAGTAGCTGAGCGGAGTCTCACATTTTCAACAGCGATGTTGACGCTAGGGCCCCGGACAACCCAATAAGCCAAACCAAGATGGTCAAAACAACTGTTTTGACCGAGAATTCGTTTTTGGTGGTAATCAGTGTCCCTGATCACAAATATGACACCTATTCTTGGTGTCCACGCAATTTGGCGCCAGAATAGCGCTGAAAGTTCCCTACATGAGTGTACATAACCGAATTCAGTGCGAAAGAAGATGTGGCCCCAAATTGTCTATAACCGCTCCACACCAGAATTACTAAATTCGCAATCAGATCCACTGTATAGCCTATGAGGATCAACGTCCAGCAACAATCTCGTTCAATGGTGAAAATCGAAATAGTTGAATAGCTTTGACTCATGAGGTACAGCTGCTCAGAATGTGCCCATAAATGGTAAATATGAGTTTATATTCATGCGCAGACACAAAATGGAAGCGGAGACAAGCGAAATCTAGAAAATGCCAGGAAAGACATCACGCAAGGGGAGTCGAACCATCAACCCCACCCTCACTGTCCGATTGCGAAACCTCCACACTATCCGCTAGGCCATCCGATGCTCGAGTGTGCTAGCGCTCTTATCGTTGATGAAACCATGCAAGAAGCCGTTCACCCTTGAGCACATGACCCAAGTTGGAAGCTCACTTACGGCGATTTTTCGCTTCGATTCAAACAGCCCCTTCATAAGGACCCCCCACTCAGCAACTGGTCAAAGTTGCAAGTGACCTACGCCGCATAGAGGCCCAAAACGAAGCAGATTCCACCGATTTCCTTTCTCAGCTCGGTTTTTACCTTTCCTGGCAAGCGGCGCAGCAGATAATTGACAGACCCTTTTCAGGCCCTGTGCATGAGAGCTACCCACAATATGCAACAAAACCGTATTTCGACAAAAAGAATCCGCACCGTCACATGAAGACCTCCCTTGTGAGACCCATCCTCTATGCTGAGAATGTAAGCAAAAATTCTAGGGCAAAGTGCAAAAACTCATAAGCAGTGGAGGGAATGGCTCCCAGACAAAAGAGACAAAGATCCTGAGTCAGTTCCGAAGAGTGTAGCGATGCGATCGTGGACATATAGGTTGTATCATAGACGAGTCGAGGACTTCTGTGATTGCCTTCACAAGCAATATAAGCCCGGGTAATGGCTGGCCTCCTCGTAGGCACGAACTAGGGTCAGCATTAATGTACGCTCCGGAAGTGACACGGAAGACAGTATACCTATGATCGCTCTCATTAAATCTCTGCCATAATACGACATGCATCCGTAAACTGGCTTTTAAGAATTTTATTAGACTGAAGTCAAAAATTGCCTTCTTCGAGGCCTTCTACTGATGTTGAGCTCTACCGGGAAATGAAGACATTCCCTCTGTATGCTTTAGTTATCACTTGCTGCTTACGGACTTCAAAAACAAGGATGTATGCAACTAGTCGGTATAGCCAAAGGTAGAGCGGGCAGGCTTACTTAGCGTCCTTGGAATAGTGAGCAAGCATTCAGTCCGCTGAAATGAGCTGGGCCTGCGAATGGGGTCCATAGCGAGGAAGTCAGGGCGCTATGTAGACCCTAAGGGAAAGCTCGAGAGCAGCGGTGACGCGTGTTGAGTACATTGCAGGACAATCGGATAAAATGGGCTATGAACTTCGTGAAAATGCGAAATAAAGCGACGCCTGCTGGGAGTTACAAAAAAGATGGGGACGGGAGAGGGGGCGGGGACGTCGGAAAGAGCATCCTCCAATAGACGTACGTGCGACACAACCGATCAATTGAATTGATATTCAGGAAAAAAAAAAAAAAAAACAAGGAATAGCTGTAGTGCCTCTAGGTCATTCCGGTGTCACGTGCCCGATAGAACAAGCCCGCCCCGGCTGACTTTTATCCACAGTACGTGATCGGTTCTAGTGATCGGACAGAAGGACAACACGGGTGATGGAACATACCGGGGGAAATTCCATTTCTTCTGAGTACGCTCTTCGGGTATGACTGTATACGTTTTATTGGTCGCTGCTGACTGCGGCGACATCAGCGGAAGGTGCGAACCACGCGATGGCGTGGGAATACGCGCCAAGGAAGGGAGCAGTCATATATTAACTATTGCTCTTCGAACGTGCACGGTAACTAGTGACCTCTCTAGGTTTGCACGCTCTCGCGCAGCGCCGATTTTTTTGAAGCCAAATGGTGGAGTGGAAGCGGCATTTTCACCAGGCGCGCGGTCCGGAGACAAAATCCCTGATTGGCTTCCGCCTAGTAACCGAGCCTTCTACCCTCCAGAGACGGTAAATCGTTACCAAATTCGTCTGAGGACACTAACTTGCACATCGGCTAGCCCCTGCAAGTCGTTGTAACGGCCACATCGCATAAGTTACTAGCTTCTTAATAGAAGTGCGTGCGGCATCCCAGACAGAAAGTGGTCAATGGCGCACACATCGTCCTTCATTCTTTATCTGCTTTTTTGGGCGAAATGGTACAAAATATCGATTGATATTCGTGGCTGATCGAACCTTTCTCATGAACTCTTCTGGAAACGTCATTATCCACAATAGAATTCGAATTCTTAAAAACTTTGATTGACTTTTGCATAATTAAGGCCAGTTTCGCGGGGCTCTTAGTACTTGCTGGCCAGCTAGATGAAGCTATTTGTCAGCATGCGTTCTATTATGCAGTATGGAGCAAATATGGAGTGCTTCCTGAACGCTACAATTGGTTCCTCAAGTGGGTTTTTTTTCTAACCATTGAGTTACTTACTTGGTGTCGAGTCCGACCATGTCTGTTGCTAATTTTGTATGCATTACTTTCGTCATTCAACTTTTTTTCTTTTTTAGGCGCCCCGATGTGAGCTTCTACCCGTTGCGTCCAGAATTTGTCGAGTCCACGTATTTGCTGTACCAGGCAACCAAGAATCCTTTTTATCTACATGTTGGGCGAGAAATACTCGACTCATTGAATACCAGGACTAGGGTATGAAAATATTGTTGAGGTTTCAGCGCTATTTTGGTAAAGTAGGGCATGTGAATGCAGAACATCAGAAACCTTTCAAGGCACTGGACACGATGGCTGGGGCGGCGATTGCTGCTAACGCCAATGGTGGACAGGCTGCAAAGGGGCTTCGACCACACCCCATTCAGCTCTTCCGCCAATGACGTTGGCAGCAATAGCCCGCCCCTAGCCATCGTACCCATGCCTTCAGTAGTTAGCCCTAGCAAATGAGAAATAACCCTATTGCGTAGAGAGGATGAGCTCGAGGGTGTGTAAATGTATGATTTCCTAGTGCAAAGAGGAGGTTTTGAATTGTGACGTCGAAATGCCTTACCCTCCTGAAATAGTGCCGAAATTCCTACAGTAATTTTTGCAGTGAAGAGTCTAAGATGTTTTAGGTAAGATGTGGATTTGCGACAGTTCATAATGTGGACGACGGTAGTCTGGAAGATCGAATGGAATCCTTCTTTCTCGCGGAAACCATGAAATATTTATATCTAGTGGGTTATTCCTCAAGAGATGGTTTAAGAATGACAGCAAGCAACGTTTTCGTTCCAGTTGTTCGATGAGGATAATCCCGTGAATCGACATCAGGAGCGATTGCTTTTCACCACTGAGGGCCATATTGTACCGGTTCTTCAACAGTTCAGGTTAGGCTTAGTCCCTGTTCTATTGAAAGTTGTTGTTGGATTTTATTATTGTTTTATCCTTTCTAGGAACCACTCCTTTCTGGAACCTGAGGATTCTACCTCAGACTCAGACGATTCACAAAACTGGTGGAGCGGATTGGAACCGAGTGTGATCATGACATTGTGTGAGTTTTTCGTCATTTCATCGCATCCTTACGACAGGCACTTCTCAAAGGTAACCCCGCTTGACTCAGGACAGGAGTGAAACTGCGCATCCTTCTGAGGCGGTTAAATGGTCCCATACTTTTCTGGGAGAGACCGACTTGCTCGGTTAGTCCCCGCAAGCCATTGTAAGGTCAAATCGAAACGAAAACGCCACTAGGATCATGGGTGGAAGTAGAATTGCTCGACACACCGTAGGGAGGGAGGGAACACCACTTTAGATAAATACGTAAATATCAAAGTTTGCAAATCTTGGGGAGAAATGATATTGATCACTTCTTTCGGGATGAACCGCCGCACTTGAGATCTTCTCTGGATCGCGAAGCATTTTATTAGGTTGTCCGGAAAGTTTGCGTCT